TTTTTTCCTGACCATTAACAATTAACAACTTGTAACCAGCCATCATAAACAATGACAATTATCCATAAGTCATTGAACGACCAAAAATACCCACCCACCTCTTGGGAATATGGGCATAGTTTTCTTAAAATTACTTCCTGCTTTCTGGGGGCGAAGACATCTTTAGGGAATCCTGAAAAGAAAATTTTTGGGTTAATTGTCAAGTCCTGTATCATTTGTCCAGTCACTGCATAATGAGAAGGTGCAGGGCTTGCTTCAAGTCCTTGTTCAAGTTGTCTGTGAATCTGGATCATCTCAGCTAGCCATCTCAAAATTGTCTTGAGCAGGTTGTAGTCCAAAGTCAATCTTTCCGTGGTGTTAATGGCTTTATCATAGTCCATGTGGAATCATCTTTGTGGGGTCCCATCATCCTTTTGAAGATTTCAAAGTTGCTGTTAGGCATGGTCATGGTTCCCTACAGAATTTTTTTTTTTTTTTTTTTTTTTGGTGCCTCCTCTGTGGTTTGGAGCAATCACAGTCTGATAAATGTCTGTCTCTCAGAACCATGAACATTCTTCCCTAGAAGAGAAAAATCTTCACACCAATTTCTCCCCACCATTTGTCTTGCCAAACTTTTCCAAACTGACCTTTGCCGATGCTTTCTCGTAACACAATGGCAATTCTTGTAACAAGATGGCAATTCTTCTCTGAACAAGCAGCAGTAAACCCTTCATCCCAGGTAGCAGCATCACCTCAGTCACCAACAAGATGAGGAGCTAGCAACTCAAAGCAGCAGCCGCTGCCTCCATGGTCCCACCACCACTGTTTGAGGCTGGGCTCCGGCCAAAGTTTCTCCTAAGCAAGCCTCCTAGCCTGGCCTCAAACTCAGGATCCTCCTGCCTCTGCCTCCTTCAGTAAATCCAACCAGTGTGCCACCACAACCAGCTGAGATAGCTCAGGTCTGAGCTGGGGCCCAGAAGGCCACAGGCAAGTGGCTTTTTCCTGAATTCGTACCTCGAACTTTGGGCGCCAGATGTAGCATGAATCTTAAAGGTTCTTATTAATAAAAATCAAACCTGAGGCCAGGTATTGGGGTGAATACTGAAAGATCAGAGAAGCAGAACAAGCCAGAGCTTCCTCACCTCGCCAATTTTTCAGGTGATCCTGTTTCCTCAGACTGGATGCCTCTGAGTCCTCATCCAGAATGAATCTCAGCTGAACTCCTACTCAAAAGCCTAAAAGCTTAACCAGCTCTAGTTCCTGGTCCTCATGCCTTATATACCTTTCTGTTTTCTGCCATCACTTCCTGGGATTAAAGGTGTGAGTCACCATGCCTGGCTATTTCCAGTGTGGCCTTGAACTCACAGAGATCGATGCCTCCCGAAGGCTAGGATTAAAGGTGTGAGTGCCACCATTTTCTAGCCTCTGTATCTAGTGGCTGTTCTGTTCTCTGACCCCAGATAAGTTTATTAGGATGCACAACATTTTGGGGAACACAATACCACCACAAGGTAAACCTATCTTTTGTTCACCAGAGTGTAGCAACTACAATCATAAGCTCATAGGTCATAGGAGGAAGATGCAGGAGGGGGATCCCTGACCAGCCAGGCAAGCCTACTGGCAATCTCCAGGCCAGTGAGAGACCAAGTCTCAAAATATATGGTTGAATACCATTCGGTCTCCAACTGCATGCACATACAGGTATACCTGGACACACACAAGCGTGTACATAGAAAACAAAACAAAACAGGGTAACCTTTGTGTTTGTGCACGAGTTCTGAGAAATGGATGATCACAAGGTGTGACTGGAGAAAGAATTCAGTCTCCTGGTACTTAAAAGGGAAAACTCAGTAAGACCTGCTGTTGAGCTTATACTCCATTTACCATGTCTTCAGAAAAGCACATTCCTTCCGAAGTCTAGGCATAGGCTGGGTATATCTCATGCAAGGGTCTTTTTTTTTTTTCTTTTTAGCACATATATTTTATTTAAAAGACTTTTTCACATATTTTACCTTTTTCATTAGAAATGAATACAATGTATGATACCATATGCTTTCTTCTGTTCTGAAATAGTCTTTGTAATTTGACTGCAATTATTTTATTTATTTATAGATTTATTTTAATCCTGACCACAGTTTCCATTCCCCTCTCTTCTCCCAGTTCCTTTTCCCCTACCTCCCCTCTGGCACTCCCCCAACCCACCCCTCCTCAGTTTCTATTCAGAAAAGGGCAGGCTTCCCGTGGATACCAACCAAACATGGCATGCCAAGTTGCAGTAAGACTAAGCACCTCCTCTCGTATTAAGGTAGTAAGGCCGGACAAGGCAATCCAGTATGAGGAACAGGGTCTCAAAAGCCAACAAAAGAGTCAGAGATAGCCCCTCGTCCCACTGTCTACACAACGGTAACATATATGCAGAGGGTCTCGGTCAGTCCCATGCAGGCTTGCAAGGGTCGTTCTTAAGGGAGAGAGAAATCAGAGAATTCTTTCTAGGTTTTCTGGCTTGCATCATCGAGGAGTGGCAGGAGAAAGGCAAAGAGCCCTTCTCACTGCTCCTCTGTCTTCTCAAAGTTCAGAGTGCCGTGCTCTGTGGTAGTGAGTCCTCAAGCCCCGTCCTTATGTATGCCGGTGTACAGGGAGACAGAGGGCAGGGGAGACAGAAGGAAGTGATGGGTGCTGAGGTACAAGCACTCACCCTGAATGTGGCACTCAGGAATGGGTCCTGTGAAAAGTCAGAGGGATGAGTTTCTGGAAAAGTCAATAGCAACATCACAGGCCTGTGGAGGAGCAGAAGCTTGGTGGGGTTCGAGATGAGCACTCTCGGATTTGCAGGCCAGTGATGTTTCCAGACAGTGCTTGAATGTTTTTGATGCTCTAGCTTCAGTGTGGCATCAGGGCCAGCAAGCAAAGCCTCGGGTCTCCCCGCTGCCATTTCTGAATGTTTTCTCTCTTTATATCAGAAGGGTATAAGACCATAAAATCCAGCAATCCTTTTAATACAGAACATCAGTCTCGCCCAAGTGAAGTGTATAAAATCTGGTAATGAGGTACGATAAATCTACTTTCTGTGAAGATCTGGGGTCCATAATCCCACATTTAATTAACATGCCTGAGACAGCACAGAGCCACTTGGTTTCAGCCCAGTTCTCTCTGGAGTGCACACCGTCGTTCACCTGCTCCCTGTTGGCACACCTAGGGCTGTCCGAGAGCATATGCTGGAACAGAACTGGCGCAGACAGAGCCCTGAGACTGGGAACAGCATCCTTCTCTCCGCTCTCAGCTTCCAGCTGCCGGAATGTTAGGGTCTCTCAGCCTCAAGACTGGGCAGTAGAAAAATAAGAAAGATGTTCAGAATCTGCATGAACCCAAATCAGGGCTGGGGTAATTCCGTGGGTGTCTTGATGCTGCAGTAGCCTAACCCAGCATCTCCCAGGGATAAAGATGGAGTTTAAGGAAGGAAAACCAAAACCTTCCCTAGGTGGCTGAACACTACCCCTGAGCTTTCCTGACTTCTTGCTCTTGCTCTCTCCCTCACTCTCTTTTCAGAGATCGTTTTCCCCCTGAGGATGTCCCACAGTGGATGGAGTATCTACAGTGCCCACGGCATATTCCAGCAGTATAGTTGAGAGGGTAAGATGGGAGTCAGCTGTCAGTCAAGGGACCACTCCTACTAAAGCTGGCCATGCAGGGAGGTGGAGGAGCTCAGAAAGGCAGAGAGTGTGGAAGGCACAGCAGAGCCAGCAAGCCATGCTGTGCATCCTACCCCTTCCTAGACCAGCTCTGGGCACTAGAAGGAGAAGAGGTTTGGGTTTGGGTGTTTATTATTCTATGTTAATCTAAATACCACTTGGTTTTACTTTGCTGTTTTTATTTTTGTTGTGTTGTGTTTTTAATAAAGTGTGCTGCAGTCCCTAATATGATTTTGATCTAGACTTCTCTATACTTTTTCCCACATCTAGGAGCATACAAATTGTTGTTGGTAACCATCTATTAACAAGGATGGAAAGACTAATTCATCCTTAGGGTTCCATCCTCACTAAGAGGAGCATATAGAGTAGAGGCTCTTCCAGTGTGACACGCAGGGAGGCCAGGGACCCAGCCACCAGCATCAGTGCAGAGAGATACTGCACCCAGCCAGCCAGGCTAAGGCCTGGACATCCAAAAGTCCCCTCCTCAAATGGACATGCTGAGCTCCCAACCTCAAGATGACAGTGTTAGCAGGTGACTGGGTGCTAAGAGAAGAATGCTCGTGAGTGACAGTGAGGCCTGAAATAGTAGTCTTGATTGTCAACCTGACAGAGTTGAGAGTCACCTAAGTGACAAATCTCTGGGCATGTGTGAGGGAATTTCCACAGAAGTTTAACCGGGATGTGGAGAGCTCCCTTAGAAGTGAAAGATGCCATTCCGTGGGTCCAAGATTAAACAAGAAGGAGAAACTGATTGGAGCTCCAGCATTCTTTGCTCCCTGCTTCCTGACTGTGTGATCAGCTGCCTCTAGCTCCTGATGCCATGACTTTCCCCACCATGGCGGACTGTACCCTTAACTGTGAGCCAAAATAAATTCTTCCTTCCTGAGGAGTTGTCCTTGGGTATTTTGTCACAGCAAAAAGTGACAGAGAAAAGTCACTAATATAAGGCCCTTGGGACAGCAGCCCCAAAGACGGCTCTTGTTGCTTCCACTGTGTCTGAACATTTCAGGACTCTAAAGTAGGAAGCAGTCCTCAGGCCACCCCTGCCATGCTAGGTCTCTCTGACCATGAACCTCCAGACCCAGAACTGAAGGAATAAACATTTGCTGTTCAAAAGCCACCCGGCCTATGGTATTTTATACAGTGGCCCAAGTGGTCTGAGCCTACTATAGCCCAGTACAAAGTCACCATTCACCTCTTAGGAGAGGCCAAGGCCTTGAAGCCCCCACTCCCAAAGTCCCATAACTTCTCTAGGCTTCTGTTTCTCTTTCTCACTGTGTACTGTATTTTTAATACAACACTGTACAACCCAGCACATCAGCTCAGAGCTGGGCATGGGGCTTGTCCAGCTTTCCAGCCCCTCCTGATGTTCATGCTTTCAAACATTTGTGTTGGGAAATCTCTGTCCTATGCCAACACAGTCTAGTTTTGTAAACAAGTCAGTAAGGACCCAAACTGTTGATGAATTAGGTAGATTCTAGGTTTGGTTCTGATATCTACTGGACATCAGTTCCCTGGTCTTTGAAGAGGGTTCCAGCTCCATCACTTTGAAAGGAACCTCTACCGAAATGGCAGCGATGTCTCTTATCAGGGAAGGTTTAGGGAGGCAGCAACCCGTGCATCAGCACATGGGCGTTACAGCAGTTCTGAGGCACTGTAGAGATGACAGCCACTCTGCACACACAGTCATGGTTAATATTGACTGTCAGCTTGACCTGGAAATAAATCTCTGGGTGTGTCTGCAAAGAAGTTTCTAGGCTGGATGAAAAAGAGTGAGTAGCCTGATTCCATGGGCTGGATTGGGACACCCACCTAAATTAAAAAAGGTAGCTAAGCAACGGCATTCATCACCCTCTGCTTCCTGACTGGGGATAAATTTCAGGTAGCTGTCACAAGCTTCTGCCGCCGTGACTTTCCCATCATGATGGACTGTGAGCCCAACTAATCCCTTCCTCCCTGAAGTTGGTTTTGTCAAATATTCTGTCACAGTGAGAAGATAAGTCACTAAGACACCCAAGCACACAAGTATCAAATAACAGGGAGGCACCTGAAGCAGCCAGGCATGGACTTCCCAGATGACTCTGAGAAGCAGCAAGAATGTAGCCACAGGACAGGGAGATTCCATCAAAATCAGAAACTGCACTTGACAGGAACAGCCCAGGCCAGGTGTTGTCTCATTTTATCTTAATGCATCCAGGGACTGACTTGGCTCCTTAGCCAGTGAGAATATAGCCATTGAAACCTGGAAGTCTCAGCTGCCTACCCTGCTCCACTTCCTCCAAGGAGACCTCCTCCCGATCAGTGTCTCGACCCTTTGGTCCCAATTTCAAATCACTAGGGATGTTTCTGTGGCCTCCTCACAAACAGCTTGTAGTCTCAAATCAGAACGGATGCTCTGAGGCATGCTGGGAGTCCTGCCAGTTTGGAGGAGGGGTAGATAATTAAGGAAATCATGGTGAATTAAGCTTTCTGCAATGAAGCGCAAACATCTTTTCACAAACAGCAGCACCCTGTTAGCTTATGTTTTGCCAGAGAGAGAGGCAGGGTCTATCTGCTGGGTTTTCAGCCTGGTAAAACACATCTGGCTAGGGAGCCAAATATTTAAGGGTCATTAAAATCCCAGACTCCTTTTGCCAAGAACTTTTCTTCTTTGTTATTCAAGTGCAGAGCAGTTATGGAAAATGCATTCCATATGGTTTGTGAGACGTTCCTATTTACTCCATCAAACCATGGCTTTGAAAGAGCTTTTTGATGTCAAAGTTGTGTTCAGATTTTATAGACTCCCCCAATGAAGCTTTTAAAGCATCTCCCTTTGAACCCCAAACATTTGCCAAGAGTAAACAAAACCAAAACCATGAGGGGTCAAGGGCTTTGTTGCAAACAAAGACCTCAGCTTGATCTGGGGCTTCCAGAGGTTTGAGGCCCCACCCCAAAAAGCTCCACAAAAGATCATGTTTCCCACATAAGTTACATGAAAATAAATGCTTTAATATATTCATATTTTATTAATAATGTAACACCCTCACCCACCACCTCCCACCAAGAAGCAGGGACGGAAGACAGTCACGCACTTAAACTATTAACAGAACTTTGGGAAGTTGAAGAAAAATGTGCCTTTAAGTCAAAAAGCAAAGTTTATTTATAAATTCTTTGCAGTGAGGGTTTCTCAGCGTAACAGACAAAGCAAACAGGCTCAGACCTGGGAAGATCTTGAAGCCCTGGAGGAGCACACAGACCCTCCCGGGCTCACAGGACAGAGAGGGTATTTGAGAAGAATTCCTTTTGGCAGATGGGAAACTGAGGACCAGAGCTCAGCACTGGCTGACAGCTGGCTGACAGCCGGATCCAGGACTTGAAGCTCCTAACCAGTTCTCTTTGTTCCCTTCCCCTCCCCCTCCTCCGGCTTTTCCAGCTCTGTCTCTTCCTTGACCTTGGAGGCATCCTCCACCACATGTCTCTTCTGTCCCTTAAGTTCTTTCTGCACTCAGCAAGACAATGCCTCCTGTAAAGCTTGGGTCAGGCCATGTCAAGGATGTGCTGATTCCCTGAGTGCCCAAGCCATCTACCTGTTGCACTACCACAACACTGCTGCCTTTCCTAACCTAGCCACTCCTCTCCAGTGCCAAAGTCTCCCAGCTCACTCTATCCCACCTACTCTGCTCTCCAGCCCCTGAGTTCACATACCTCATGGCCTAGCCAAGACCTGTGCACTGCATGCCTTTGCTTCTCTGCACAGTATCTTTCAGTTCTTAGCCCAAGCAGCGTATCTCCAAGGACTTCTGTGGCTAATGAATGAAAAGAATGTCTGCAAGGTCATCAGGGACTCCTATGTACAGCTACTGGCTGAACACACCCTACACACACAAACTGGGCAGAGAGCTTCAGGAAGTCCAGCAAATGGGCCATACATCATTTCCTGCTGCAATCCTGGAGCTCAGCACAGTACTCAGCTGTAATAGGCACTTGGAAGCATAGCTCACTAAGATACCTATCTCTTAGCCTGGGCTCCTTCTATTCACAGGAAATGAAAAAGAAAACAAAAATGGAAGGAATGTGGAGAGAGGGAAAGAAAGGAGGGCAGAGAAAAGAAAGAGGTGGAGGGAGAAAAGGCTCACTGTGTTTAGAACCTAAATAGACCTTGCTTTTTCCACATCTTCCTGGAGCAGGCTTCCCTCACCTTCTGAGGTGCTGCCTTCCTCTGACTCCTTCAGCTTGCTTGCCAACCTGTTCTCAGGTCTCCCGGCTACTCTTAGATTCCAGGATCTTCAGAGGAAGTCTGGAAACTTAATTAGGACCATAAAACCTCAACTTACAAGTAACAAAAAGCTTTAGTGGTGGAAACTGAGGCAGTTATTTGACATGAGAGGGCCCCAGGAACGAGTAGAGAGTGCAAGTCTTTCTAGAGATTGCACAGCGCCCAGTGTGCCTTCTGAAACTACCGGGATTGGCTTCCGAACGCGCATGTGCCATCTTGTCACTTGACTTGGCTCCTTCAGATCTCAGGTGCCTCCCTTGAAAGTTCATGTCTGCACTTGTCAGTTGTATTTTTATGATGAGTGTGGAAGGAAGCTAGTGGAGATCAGCCTGGGACCCATAGGGGTGACAAGGTCAGCCACGCCCTTTCTTCTGGGAGGCCCTGTTGGAGGCAGAGCGATCCCAGGCAAGATCCTGAAGAGTGGAAGGGTCTCTTCCTGCTGTCGTTCTACAGACGTGGTTGAGAAGCTCATGTGTTCCAGGACCCTTTCTGGGATCCCACAGAAATGAAGACCAGCCTGACTCCCAAGGGAAAGGAAGGCAGTAGGCAAATTGCTGCAGAACATTTACTCAAGGGTTGGCGCTGTCTAGAGAAGGTCATGCGCTAGTATATGGGACACTTTTCAAGCAAGCACGCTGGAAAAAGGCTTCCCTGGGCACCCTTGGAGGTGGAGCCAGCTGGTAGACAAGCCAAGTGGTGTGGCTGTATGTTTTGTTTGTTTTTTGAGGGAGACTGGCCTCCAATTCCCATTTTATCTGAGGGGGATCTTTAACTTCTGGTGCTCCTGTCTCCGCCTGCCTCCGGCTGGAATTACTGGCATGTGTCACCACTCCCGTTTTTATGTGCTGGGTTTAGAAACCAGGACTCAGCCTGTTAGGGAAGCACTCTATGGACTGAACTACATCTCCAGACCCTAATTTGTGTATTTAAGGAGGACTAGGTCTCTACACCCAGCTCAGGTACTTTTTAATTGGGTGATTCTATACCCAACCCTATCCCCCAATAACCTCCAACCCACCAATACCCGCCACCTGTCTTTCTGATGTGCCTCACTGATTTTCTAAATCCTTCTAGCACTCTCTCTATGGCCACCACCACTCCTCCAAGTCCCCTTGCTCTGCCTAGAATTGATATTCGACCCCTCCACCTGGCATTCCCAGCTGAACTCTGCTGTCTGTGTCCCACTGGCTCCCTGAAAGGGCTGGAGACATCTGGGTAGCAGGAGGCGCTGTAAAAGGAATGCATCACCAGAACATAGACTTTAGAGAGAACTTCAGCGTGGCCGATGATGACCAGCTGCAAAGGGAGAGATGGGAAGATTCAGGAGGTGTAGGGGTGAAGCTGACGGTACAGTGTGGAGGGGTGAGCACACACAATTACTGGGCTCTGTGACTGTTCTTGGAAGTGGGTACCTTCCTCTTCAGGGGCCTCCAGGACCACAGCTGAGTTTAAAGTCAAGGGAACAGAAAAAATGTATTCATGAGGAGCAGCAGCTCAAGCGTTCCCTTAGGGATCATGTTGGCGGCAAATCTGTACTGAATCCATGGGTGTGCTGCTGGTGAGAGAGGAGGGGAAAGAGGAGAGCAGTGCTCCTCAAAGGA